CCAATGCTTCTGTTCTTTCTTTGATTGGATAAATGTAGACATAACGGGAGTAATCATCTGTGAATGTTATGAACGAATCATTACCATCCACACTCTTTACAGGAAACTGATCACAGATGTCTGTGTGAATAATCTGTAAAATTTCTACGCTTCATTTGGCATCTTTCTTTATTTTCTTTACATACTTTTCTTTTATGCACTCTCTGTATTGTTCTAAATCTGAGAGCTCTAATGGAGGAAGAATACCATTCTTAACTTGTCTTTTTATTTTCCCCCTCGAAATATGGCATAAACGACAGTGCCATAATTTTGACGACGTATCGTGAGCTCTCTTATGCCACCACTTCCAAATTAACACTCTGTGACCAGTTGCTTTATCAGCTAGGTAGCATATGTCTTTGAAGAGCCCGTGAACTGACTCTTTATTCTATCGAGGTACTCGGTGACCGTGTCACACTCTGGGATTGAGCCCACAATTACAGGCTTAATCGGTTCTTTATTGTAGCCAAACATTTCTTGTTGGCAGTGACCCACTTCCTATGCACAAGGGCATATGATATCTTTTGGGATTCAAAATCCCTCTCTTTAGTTGCCCAAGTGGCATCATGCTCATTTGTCTCCCTCACCGATACCACACACTCAGTGGAACACGGTGAGGTGACTACCCAGTCCACCTCAGCCAAGATGAAAACTAGGTCAAACCTTTTCTTAACATAAAAATAACACCATTTGCATGCCTTGATTCCAACGTTGGTCACAATCAAAACATACAATTATTCTTATACACTAATTCTACATTATCGTTGGGCAGAAATAGAATTAATGTATAAAATCATTAAAATTCACAACTGTTCTTACACACTAATTCTACATCACCGTTGGACAGAAGTAGAATTAATGCATAAATCATTAAAATTTACAACTGTTCTTATACACTAATTCTACATCACCGTTGGACAAAAATAGAATTAATGCATAAATCATTAAAATTACGATATTGTTATTAACAACGTTGGTCAGAAAATAACAACATCATAATCATGTCAAAATCTATTTTTCTCCAATTAAATACCACATTAGTTCAAAATAACTGGAGAATCAACAATTTCTTTAGCAGCGGAATAACTTTCTTTTTCTCCAATTAAATATCACGTTGGTACAAATTAACTGGAGAATCAACAAATCATGTCAAAATCTCTTTTTCTCCAATTAAATATCACGTTGGTACAAATTAACCGGAGAATAAACAATTTCTCTTTAGCAGCGGAAAAATAATTGAATTTCTTGAATTTTACCCACTGGGAAAATTTACTTTTTCTATTTTATTTCTATTTTCTTTAAGCCATTAATCAATTTCCATGAAATAAACATTTACTGGAAAAAGAAAAAACAGAAACTGCTTCAATTCAGTACTGTACATTCAGCCCAGCCGGCAAAACGGCCCGGCCCATCTCCCTTGATGCGCGCCCGGTCGCACCCAGGCCACAACCTGGGCCTGGGCCGGCAAAGCCGCTCGGCCACGCGCGCCCGCCTGGGCCGCATCGCTGGCCCATTCAATCTCGGTCGTCTGTTCCGATCGGACGGTGGCGCGCGCGGATAGGGAGAACAAAAGCCCCGCCCGTGGCCGGCCTGTCTCCCAAAACCCTAGCGGCCTCATTCGCTTCCTATTCTTTCTCTCTCTTCGCTCTCTCTCCTCTCTCCTCACACAGCAGCGAGGCGAGCGCAACCGAGCAAGCAGCGAGCGAGGATGGCAGAGCCATGGCGCCGTCGCCGGCCCCCTCACCGGTGTGCGCGCTCCCCAGCGGGTGAGCACGCCGCAGTCGAGCGGCCTGGCCGCGGCGCCCCGTTGGTCGAGCCCAGCCGAAACATCTCCCCCCGCCTCGGCCCTCTTCTCCCGCGTCGGCGAAGGGTTCGCTCGGTGCACGGCGAGGTCTTTTCCCTTTCTTCCTTTTCTTCTTCCCCTTCGTATTTGAGTTATTCTTCTCTTTTCCGAACTGGTGTGGGGAATTAGAGTTTGGAGATTTGCACTGTTCTTCTTCCCCAGAGGATCTGCGCGGGTTTAGGGTTCGGCTTTGACTATTTTCTAGGCCGAATCCCTCTTCTTTTCTTTTGGATCTTGTTTCTCTTTCTACGGATTCAACCGATTGGGGTACTAGGGTTAGGGTTTCGGGATTTGCACTTTTCTTTTGATTTCTTTTCTTTTTGGAGTTCATCCGAATCGCTTCCCTTCCCCTTCTTCATGCGAGTTAGGGTTAGGGTTCGGTTGAACCTTTTCTTTTGATTTCTTTTCACGGTTTTGATTCCGATTGGGATGAGGATGGGTTAGTTCATCCGAATCGGGTTCACTATTGTTCTTCCCCTTCACCCAGTTAGGGTTAGGGTTGGGGAACCACTGTTCTTCTTTCCTTTTACTCCTTTCCTCAGATCCGAACTAGATCTGTTATGTTCTTGCCGTGCGCCGGTGAGAACGGCGGTGCGGCATCTTTTCCCCGCGCGGTGGCGGTGGTGACCGGGGTTCCAGTGACGTCCGCCACCCCCGGTCCCTTTTCTCTTTGCTTTTACCCGGTTAGGGTTAGGGTTACACACTGGAAACCTGGCTCTGGTACCATTGTTAGATCGTAGATTACCTCTGTGTAACCGTAGATCCAGGGTAGGTATTTCTCCACCATTCGGTCCACGGATGCCGATGTCATGGCAGTTCCGACATAGTGGTGGAGACGATGTCCAGTGGCCCGGTGGTGACCCTGCAGAGGCGGCGGCGGTGTGGTGGAGCTTCCCGTCGCTGGCAGCACTGCTTTAGATCAGTTTAGGTTTTCTGTGTAGGTGGGTACGGCGGCTCCGTTGAACCTCGTAGCGTGAGCCATGATCCCCACCTCTCTTTTATATGTGCGGTGCGACAGGGGCCCACCAACCATATTAGGGTTGGGCTCCCCCGATCAGGGAGCAGAGACAAGGGCCTGGGCCTATTGGTGGAGATCAACTAACAGGATATAGTAGCATCAGTCTTACGATTGAGAATCTAGTATATAATTTGGATTCCTAGCTATTGGCTGGAGACCCATGTAGTACCTGTCAATCAGTATGTTTCCTTGTGGGCGAATTACCAGGTACGATGTTGCCCCAAATGAGTCTTGAGAATTGTATCGTCCATCCCAAAGCACTTCAGGCGCAGCTTCGACTCGTTGGTGCTGCTTGTTTCCTGGATCTGGATGGTCTGGAAGGAGCGGAATCGACGTACTTTTGAGAGTATCACGAAGACGCCGTCTCAGCTGGACGTGCTCATTCTGGAGGAAGCTGACGCCTGGATCGCTGCGGGCTTCCGCTGCCTTGCGTCGCTGACTGCTCTTGCTACTTGGTGGTCGCGGCTTCCCCTTCTCTTGTCGTGCAATTAGTTTCCTCAGTTAGTACACCTCTCTTAGCACCACCGTTGAAGCCGATGATCTGTGTAAGTGTTCCTCCGGTCCGCTAACTATGGCACATCGCCGTGGGTAGCACTGGCTGTACTTTGTTCCCACTCCTCTTAATGAAGCACGTTCCATTGCACGCTTTCGGAAGAAAAAAAAAGAATTGTATCCGCAGAGATAAACGCCCTGAACATTACATATTGGTGACGTGATTGCATAGTATACCAGACTGAAGATTTCATAAACATTAGCAAATAGCTGTACTCTAACTACATCTTATATTCTTAATACTTGTATTAGACAAAAAGATGAGGATTTGCACCATGCAATAAGAAAAAGGAAACTGTGAAAAACATGCATACTGGGAGTAGTTTGTCGTCGATTGGTAGAGGAAACATGTTTTGCACTTGGAGGATGTCTTTTGGAGGTTTCTCTGTGAATTGAGGATGTTGGACAGGAGAGCAGTGCCTGGACATCACAAAAAAAAAAAAGTGGTGTTGCAGCTGCAATCCATATATATAACATATAAGTGTGTGTTATAACCAACACCAAGCCTTGAGAGTTGGATGGGAAGAGCAGAGAACGAGAGAGAGAGACACACACACCCCTGCAGGGCCTTGGTCCTCTCCTCCTCGGTACTGGGCTGTGTCGCTACGGCGGCCTTGCCATCCACCCTCTTGAACACCTCCTGCATACATGCCGGCACGCCTCACGCCATGAATGATGGTTAGCCAAGCGAGCGATTGAAGGTGAAGGATGGGAGAAAGCTGCCTGCGTACCGGCGCCATCCATCGGCAGGTCTGGCAGTCGATGCAGCGTTGGTCTGCGAAAACGCAAGGCAAAGAGCGCGCGTCAGTCAGGCAAAGGCAAAGCTCTTGTGTTGTTGTTGGAGGGGAGCAGCTACATAGAGAGCTCTGCTCACCGACGAAGAAGTCGCCGGCCACGTTCTGCGGCCGGCGCCGGCGGTCAAGCACTGCACCTGCACCAGAGGACGCGGTGGCGCGAAACGTTAGGACACGTCTTCCTCTTCGGGGGCGCGGCAGCACGGTTGGCGTGGCCAAGGAGTACGCGGCGGCACCAAGGCTCATCAGTGGTGCCATGTGTGTGTGTGTGTGTGTCAAGTGTGAAGAAACTCGGACTTCTCTAGCTGTGCTTAAAACTGCACGGGAGAGGGAGACACTGTGTATTATTATTTACTAATCAGGGTAGTCGATTTATAAGCAGCTTCAACCAAGGCTCGGGGAAGAGGCACAAAGACACGGTAATAAAACACGACACCATCAGCTTCCTACAGCCACAATCGTGGATGGCCATGGTCAGACTTGGTTGCAAATTTGAATGGAAATTTGTACAAGATCACTCTGCATCCTTTTCCTTTCCAACGCACAGGACACAAGAGAATAGAGAATAGTACTCCCCTAATGGGCATCCTTTTCCTTTCCATCGCACAGCAGGACACAAGAGAATAGTACTCCGTCCCCTAATGTGCTAGACAAGACAATAAGAGAGAAGGGGGGCAAAAGACACGAAAATCCCATGTATGCACAAGCAACGCTGCTGCAAAATCATCGGCCGCGCCGGGCCGGGCCGGCTCCTTCATTGTCTACTCTGCAGGAGTGCTTGCACCTTTAGCTCCCCCGCTTTCCTCAGCGACCTGTACTGCAGCCGTATGCTTTCTCCGCTATCAACTGCCTTCACAAGGTACCTGCAGGTCCCCGGACGGCTTCTGCCACTAAGCAAAACTTCTAACCCAAGCCAAAAAAAAAAAATGCTGAACGAGTGAACCAGCAGCGATCGCTTACCAGCCATTCAGGCACTGTGATGTCACCACCGCCTCCTTCCCAACGAATTTATCAGGCGTCCTTTTATTTCCCTGCACGCACGGTAAAAGAGGAAGAGAGTCCACCTCTCAGAAAATTGTTCTCCATTACCCCCATTTCTTGATAGTAACTGTCGCCAAAGAATGCATTTCCACGTACCATGATCACGACTCTCTCACCCGCCACAAACGGGTACTGCACCCCCTTGAACGCTCTAGGGCTTTCAGCATCTAACCCCAGCTCAATACTGTCCTGTTAGATGCTCAAAGACAAAAATTATCTCAAAAACCATACAACAATATTACTTATACAACGGAGGCATGCTCCAAGAATTATGCACCTTGCTACTTCCATTTCGCCTTTGGGCGTCCATATGCTCAGTCACTTCTTTCCGGCGCTTTCGAAGAGCAGCGTTATGAAAGAGCCTCCTATCGTCTTCCATCTTCACCACTGTAGCTACCGCTCTTAGAGCTGTACAACATTCAATACTGACAACTGTAAGTGAGCAAACGGAATGATACTGATACCACATTGATGTTACAAAATAAGCATGGAGACATACCAAGGTTAGGAAACAAGGAGGCCTCATCAACTTCTCCGTTGCAAATGCTGCACCTTGCCTGATTAGATAAAAAGTTAAAAAATGGTATGCAGTCTCAGTTGCATGTTAGCTCCTACCAAAAATACTTCCTGGATTACTAACTCATTATCAATTTCTTATGAAAAATGTGGCTTCTGAATTCTGATCGTAATGACTCAGTTGTACTGTATTCCAGACCATTTTTTTGGTGCTTATAAGGGATTGACCTACTAACTACTAAGTTGCAGATACAGCAGAATGGGCTTATATAAAACCATAATCAGACAAATCAAAGATTTGGGGTAACGGTTAATTTCAATGGTACCTAAAAGAACAACACCTAAAGTAAAGCATAGAACTTTATTCTTGATGTCACACACAGATTTACAAACAAACCGAATTTTGAGAAATGATAAAAATGGAATACAAAGTCTCAGAATATACCATTTCAAGAACTTTCTTCAGCATGAGGCCACCAAACGAGTGCCCACATGAGAGAACCATAGCATCTTCAAGAAAAGCCCCACTGAAAATAAAAATATTATTCCGTCACTAGATGGCTATATTCATCATTTGTAAGCTAAGTGTCGGTGTTTCGAACAAACACCAACTAGTAAATTTATATTTGTTGCGCGTTAGAATCGGATGGTGTACTAAAAGGCACAAGGTTTATACTGGTTCGGACAGAATGTCCCTACGTCCAGTTTACTGCTGCTCATGTTATTAGCAGCAAAAAAGGTTCGTAGTAGGGGGTACAAACGGTCGAGAGAGGGACAGGTCCCAAGTCTCTGATGGAATGGTCGAAAGGATGCCAAGAGCTCGGTTGCTGCTTGGTTGTGTGTGTGATGTGTGTTGAATCGATCCGTCCCCTTAGTGGAGTGTCATGCCCTCCCTTTTATAGACCAAGGGGGAGCAGGGGTTACAGATGGAAGAAAGAGAAAAAAACCAAAGGTAGAGAAGGTCCTTCGAAGGTGCCGGGTCTTCCTTTTCCCTTGAGCCTGCCCTGTTGACATGGCAGACTATGCTAGGGATAGCACGTTCGCTGATCCTGATAGGGTCGTGCTCTGGCTTTGTTTCAGCAAGTGGTCACGTCCCATCCTACTCCGGCGGACGGTGCGGCGTGCCAGGGTGCCGAGCCGTGACCCTACGGGGAGCAGACGGGGAAGTGACTATACGTCAGTTAGTGTAGATGATGCGAGTTCTCTCCTGGATTGTAGTGATTGTCGTATGCTTATGTCAGGATCCGCGTCCGAGGGCTGATGGCGGTGCCCACAACACTGTAAAACAAAAGTCGACGCCTACAACACTGTTCGGGCTCGGTCATGCCTGGAAAGGCTTAAAACGCCCGTCCCGTCGTATCCTGACGGTACCTTCCTGCATGCGTGCAGGGCATGGTCCTCGGTACTGCGGTTGACTCGAATGTCCTGCCTTATCCTGTGCTCGTCATTATGAAGGAGCAGGGTGCAGTCGTCGGGCGAGGCGGAGCCAGCCCTCAGCCGTCGGGCGAGGCGAAGCCAGTCCCCGGTCGTCGGGCGAGGCGGAGTCAACCCTCAGACGTCGAGCGAGGCGGAGCCAACCCTCAGACGTCGGGCGAGGCGGAGCTAGTGCCCGGACGTCGGGCGAGGCGGACTCCAGCCCTCGGGGGTCGGGCGAGGCGGAGCCAACCCTTCGGGGCCGGCAAGGCGCAGCCAACCTTCGGTTGTATGGGCAAGAAGTGTAGTTGTGTTCTTGCCTATTCGGAAGCATCAGCGTTTGATGGTTATTAGTTCCACCTCTTTAGGTACCCCAGTAATAAGTCCCCGACACTAAGTGATTAAATGATGTGTCACAATATGGATTTTGCAGCTGTATGCTTTCAGCAAGTTTCTTTTGATCCAGCATGTCTAAAGGTGTCTCTCTTCTTTAATTGTTATGTTAAGATAAGAAACATATAACAGCACACATAAAAGGATCCCTGCAGAAAAGCAGAAACCATATGCATGGCATTGATGAAGTGTTACATTCAACAAGGAAGAGCTTACGACAAAGGGTCTGATAGTACACTTCTGAGCGATGGTTCATTAACAAAGTTTCCCTGTGATTCCTGCATCCCAAGTTAGCAAAGTATAAGCAACTTCAGAGTTTTAAGGCTTCTGATGAAATAAGCTCTGAAATACACACAACACCCATCTAGTTTTCAATAAAGCACTTTACTACTCTTATTAAAGAGAGTCAAGAGGTGTCCTGGCTCTCATCATCTCATGCATTACTGTAACTGAATGTACAATAAGATCACATGCATGTGATGAAATTTATATACTCACAGGTGGTGCTTCCAAGTGATGGTAAACATTCTCTTCAGCACGCAAATCATCCATAAACTGGCTTGCAGATATGGGTCGGTGGATCTGCGGTATGCAATGCCCAGCAGCTGAAATTGGAGAGCAGTCCAATATAGCATTGGCACGAGGCATCAGCCTAAACATGAGTGATGCCCTGGAAGATAACGGAGAAAGAAAATAAATGATATGCCAGCGGAAAACTTTAATCCTTCTAGCAGCCCACAACTCTCACCTGTTTCCATTATTAGTGATCCTGTACTGAGAATTTAGCTGTAGACCAGCAGTAACATGACTCAAGGCTCTTCCAGTCAAAAGCAATAGGACATCAGGGCTTGAGCCTGCATCTGCTGGGTACCAATGACCATTTGGGTTGCAAACCTGCAAAACAAGATAAACAGTAGGAATTAAAAGATGAAAACGCACTAGTGACAAGGCATAGTGACGAAGTCAGTCAAATACAAACCAGGGAAGAAAACACTAACTGACTAAACAGGAGGAGGATACAGAACAGTTGTGCATTTCACCAAAAGTAATACTAGAACCAGGCACAAAATTTGTTATTTGCGCCATTCGGGATAAAGATTACAAAAGAGTTACATGATGAGCAACTTCACACCTCAATTCCTGGATGGTCAGAAGCAACCAGTGTAACAAAACCTCTATCAACTTCAGCCATTGATGACCTGAGGCCCACCATAGGTGCTTGGCTGCTTTGGGGGTGTCCATGAGAAAATGACACCATCAATTCTGAAGCTGAAACCTCATCAAGAGGCAATGGGTTGTCATCAAGCAAATGGCTGAAAGCACTGGAAATCAAAGAAGAACGATTAGCTGGGGTAGAAAAAAAGAAATGTGAACAAGAAGGTGTTACAGAAACAAAATAAACTAAAAAGAAAGGGCAAGTGCATTACTCTGAACGTAAACGAAGGTTCCGTGCTATTGCACAGAGAGCAGCACGGGCAGCCTTACCCAAACATCTGAAAGCATCAGCCATGCAAGCAGGTGACAACTCTCCATCATCCAGAGCCCTGTTATAGAGTAGATTAAAGCAAAGGTATTGCAGACAGGATAAATGCAAACCAAAAAATGATGAAGATGGCATTGATAAGGGCATATGGTGAATCAATAAGTGAACATATTTTGTTTGGAAAACAAAAAACTATGTTACACATAAAACTGAGATTTTGTTGAGAGATATAGCTATCCCATAACAAGTGCACAGAAGGTACTATGCAGTAAGCAATAGTTGGGTACAACTGGGATGCCTTGTGTAATTATATACAGGAAGCTGGTTGGATATGAAGCACACACAACAACATGTGAACACATTTCAGATAGTGACATTGCCGAAATTCTTTACGGATGATTCACAAGCATGATGCTTCTAGCAGTAATATATAGGGTACAGCACACAGTTCCAACAGACATCTCACATCTCAGTGTGCTATCAGCATACTAACTCCATTCAAGTTAAAGGCACCGGAGCATTCCCACATTGCGCAGTGTGATACTACTTATTACAGCATCTAGAAGTCCTGCTGCTACTACTACTACTAGAATTTTATAGTAAAATCGCAAAGTAATAGGTGCAACGGGAAAGCAGCTGCTGCAGCAGCTCTCCATCCAGTGAAGTGAGGTGACAGAACAGAATGAGCAGAATCGTATTGAGATTGGCTGCGCGTACCTCCCGGCGCGGTAGACATAGAGGCCGGGGCGGACGCGGAAGAAGCCACGGGCGGACTCGAGGGCGCAGCGGACGACAGCGGCGTCCGCTGCAGGGAGCTCGACGGCGGCGGCGCCGTGGCGCGTGAGGGAAGCGGCGACGGCGTGGACTGCGCGCGCGTAGGCCGGAGTGGAGGCGCCGTCGAACGGGGCCAGGTCGTCGAGGCGCACCCTGGTGAGGGGGCTCCTAGCGGCGGCGGGGGGTGGGGGAGGGAAGGTCGACATGGGTCATGGTGAGGCGCCAGTGAGGGTGGGAGGGAGTGAGGGAGGCAGGGCAGACAGCGCTAGCTAGGAGGAGGAGTAGGATTCGGAGGGGAGGGCGCTCGCCGGAACGGCGCCACCGCCGCCGACGCCGACGCCCTGGAGGACAGCACAAACAAACATCACTGTCGCTGCACTGCACTGGACTGGGGCCGCGGTGCTGATAATGCCCAACCACTATTTTGCAAAAGGGTATGGGCCGTGCTATCTTTCCATGCCAAATTTTCCCCCCAATTTTCCACGGAGGTCTATGACTCTTGTTTCTAAAAAAATGCAGTGTAACTCTTTTCTTCTAAAAAAATGTATTCTAACTCTTTGAGTTAACACGGGTGCTTATTTATAATTATTATGCACACATAAGGTCGGTTCTTCGTGTGCTGCTCCTACGACATGTGCGACCACTCTCTAGGAGCAATTACTGTCCCATGGCCAACTCATGAGGATGCAGGTATTCTAACTCTTTGACTTAACACGAGTGTTTATTTATAATTATATTTTTGGTGGATTATTTTCAAGTGGTAGAGGATACGTTAGTCAATGACAAGGCGGCATGTGGTGATTTCTCCAAGATCTGCTGGCCTAATCTCTTAGAAATAGTGTTATGAATTGGGTATACATACGTGTATTCAAAGTGATGAGCGTTTCTTATATATGAATGTTTATACTTCTAGCATGTTTCAAAGAAAATCGCTAAAGTGTATACGTCGCGCATCAAATGTTCTGATCGAGTGATCGTGACGAAAGAAGCCAGTCCTCTGTGCACCTTTTTTCTTTCTTTCTGCGAAGGTCCGTTCGCTGGTGTGAAACTTGGCTGAAAACACTGTTTCGGCTGGTATGTTGTGAGAGAAAAACACTATTCGGTTGGTTTGATGAATAGTAACTTGTGAGGGTGTCCAGCCGGCTGGCTGAACCAGTCAGACCAGGGAACACCACCAAAACTATGACCCTCTTTGAAACGTAGGAATCTGTTTTATATATATATATTTTTCTATCAAAATGAATTGATTTCTATGAAATTCTGGTACAATTCCTGCATTTCGAAGTGGTACTATAGCATGGAACCAGATCAAATACAAATTAGGTGGTGTTTGGTTCATAAATTTTAGTCACTGTCCCATCGAATATTGAACACATGCATGGAGTATTAAATATAGACTAATTACGAAACTGATTGTATAGTTTGCGACTAATTTACGAGACGAATCTTTTAAGCATAATTAGTCCATGATTTGACAATGTGGTGCTACAGTAAACATGTTCTAATGACGGATTAATTAGACTTAAAAAATTCGTCTCGTCGAGTACTGACGGATTATGTAATTTATTTTTTTATTAGTATCCGAACACCCCATACAATATTCTCCCGATACACTTTGTTTTTTTATTAGTATCCGAACACCCCATACAATATTCTCCCGATACACCTCCTAAATTTTAGTCACTAGATCCAAACACCACCTTACATAGTCTATTTCACATCAATATTCATATTTTACGGTGAATAATAAAATATGGATTGAACATTCTCAAATATAAATATGAATATGAATAGGCAGTGATCAAAATCAATACATATAGATTATGACCACTCGTGTAACATAAATACACTTCACTAGTTGTATTATAATAAATTAATAAAGATAATACTATCTGGCAAGATTCCAATACAATCAGGTCGCCAAACGTCAATCACCACCAGATAATAACAACCAACTTAGTAGCTTTAAATGTACTCCAGAAGTTGTTCAGCATCATGCATGCTAGTTGAACTAGCTACAATGACGGGCAAATGCTAGCAAAGGCTTTGACACCTCCGAGTTCCCAAAGGCAAAGCTCTAATCCTCTAGCTCAGCTTCATCAACAACAAAAGGCTGGAAACATAAAAAAAAATACTCTCTCCATACTAAAAAAAAAATAAAGTCATTTTGAACAAGGCTTAGGTCAAACATTGGGAATATAAATTATGAATAGCTTTTAAGTTGTTGAGTTTAGAAATGTGAAAACCATATGTATAGATTTGTCTTGAAAACTACTTTCATAAAAAAATACATATATCACTTTTTGATAAATATCTTTATAAAAATAAATAGTCAGAGTTATGCTTTGGAGACCATGTCGCTGTCCAAAACAACTTCATTTTTGAGTATAGAGGGAGCTTCAAGAAGCAAAGTTAAAAACATCAAAATAAACAGAATGAATATCCAGCACAAGGGGAACGAGCGAATCAGGCACCCAGAGTAGCATATTTAGAGTACTGTAGAAGCGCAATAAGCTCATCCTTCATGTAATTGCGTATTATGAATTGTCAATGCCTACTTATTTCAGGATCCTGGCATGATGATTGATTCAACAAAAGATGAAAAGATTCTACTGAATATATTATCCACAAAGGCTATCCTGAGCAACAGTTATAAGTTTCGCTTGGTATTCACCCAGAAAACATGGCAATGCATGGCTAGCCTGACGCTACAGGGAAAGTAAACAAACTCACAAAACAGTCCTCGAAAGTAATACGGAGTATTTTGCAGCACAAATGTTTGACAATTCACACAGCTAACACAAACACTAACCGAATAGGCTGCAGCCAGTTCATTCAGCTCATCAAGGTAACATAATACAACATCACAGCCAAGTAATGTGAAACAGGTTACATCAAATTACATAATATATTTCGCAAAAAAAATTACATAATATATAGCATTTCAAAACTGGCAGAAAAAACTACACATCACATCGGAAACAAGGGAAACCTGACGCATGGCACAAACCTAACATAGCATCGCTAAACATGAATATCCACCAAAAACGCACCCAGGGGAGTTCATCCTGAAATGAGTGTTTTCTTTCAGAGCGACATCTTAAAATGATGAAAATTGATATACCTACAATTTGGAATAACATTTCACAAAACAAAATGCCAGCAGATCTATGTTGTGAAATGTAACCACACAACAACATCTGGTCAGGCATACAACAGGAAGGATTAACCATAAGAATTAGCTTATTTTCTCTTTGCAAAATGTCAAGGAAATAGTTGCTCCTTGCCCTCATCTTGATAACATGTGACTACCAAAGATAGACGACATGCATTCTGAGTTCATGGAACTTAGAATATAAAATGAATTGAAAAAAAAAAACGAATCTGCATGCCTGGATGAGAAGCATTTTGTGTCATAACTAAGCATACATGACTGGATGGTAAACCAACGGCCATAAACAGTCACCCATCCCATTAATTTATAATGCAAGTCTCATCTAAAACAAACCATTTTGAGCAATAACAGATGCCAGCTGTAAAATGGTGATCTGTGGGCCAGGTCCAGCTATTGCATACATGGTTCCTGGTGGTTAGGCTTTTTTGTCAGCGAGCAACATCGGGAACTGAGCCTCAACCTTGATCCACTCCTGTTTGGCGTCACCCTTGACAGCCTTTCTCATGGCCATGAGAACCTCCCTTGCGTGCTTGGCCTTCCTGCTCTTGAGCAAACCCTGAACCAAACCTTTGACAGCTTGGAACGGCGGCGCCCACTTGTTGCGCAGGCACTCCTTGCAGACCTCCAGGGCAGGATCAAACAAACTCTTGTTGACAAGGGCCTCGAGCAGCATGATGTAGGTCTCAAAGTTGGGGGAGACCCCTTTGCTGTTCTGCCTGGGCACCTCCGGCATCCTCTTGAAGAGAGCCATGGCAGCACCCACCTCCCCCTCGTTGCAGAGCCCCTTGATGACAGTGTTGAAGCTCGAGCGGTTGGGCGGGACGCCGTTTGCCCCCATGGCATCCAGCAGCTCTTCAGCTTCAAAGCTCCTGCCTTTGGAGCACAGCAGGGCCATCCGGAGGTTGTAGGTCCCGACATTGGGCTTGAGACGCCTCTTGGGACCAGTGATCTCCTTAACTAGCTGATCGAAGGCGGCATCGTCGCCGGCGTTGAGGTAGCCCTTGAGGATCTCGTTGCAGGAGATGATGTCCGGCTGGACGCCAGCCGTGTCAGGCATTTCGTCGAACGCGGTGCGGGCGGCTGCGACGTCCCCGCTGGCGACGAGGACCTTGAGGAGGACGTTGTGGGAGACAAGTCCCGGCTTGATGCCGAGGTCGGCGGGGAGGGTTTTGAAGGCCCGGACGGCGCGGTCGTAGAGGCGGTTGTCGTGGTAGGCGGAGAGGAGCGCGGAGAGGGCGCGGTCGGAGGGCGGGTTGACGAGGCGGAAGACGGTGAGGGAGTGGTCGGGCATGCCGGCGGCGGAGTAGAGGGAGATGAGGCGGAGGAGGAAACCCTCGGACGGGTGCGGGCTGGGGAGGGCGGTGAGGGAGGAGGAGAGGACGGAGGCGACGAGGTCGCGGCGGCCCGCGGAGGCGAGGCGGTGCACGGAGAGCGCGAAGAGCGGGCGGTCGGCGAGGAAGGCCGGGTGCGGGAGGCCCGAGAGGAAGAGGGTGGCGAGCGCGTCCGGGCTGGTGGCGGCGTCGCGGATGGAGGACTTGAGGCGGGAGAGGTCTGCGGGGGTGGTGGGCGTCGGTGGGTTAGTGAGCTGTGTCTGCGTGGAGAGGAGGCAGACGAGGAGGTGGCCGCGGCTCAGCAGGGAGGGGCTCCGGCAGAGGGCGGCGGCGGAGGCCATGGTGGGAGAGCCGGAGAGGCGAGGCGCGTGGGAGGGGAAAGGGGAAGAAGGGAAGAGTTCCGGAAGGGTTTAACTGGCGAGCCCACTGGGCTGACTTCTCCTCACGGACGGCCCACAGGTTCCAAAGTCCAGAAGAAAGCAACGAAATGCAAATGCCCCTTTCCGAAGCTCACATGTTGTCACCCCTGATGAAACGGAACCTTTGCCCTTTTTTCAGGCGACTGATGAGACAGTAGTAGCTAGTTGTGTATGGAATTAATGAATTGTCATCAATTTGCTTATACATGCATGTATGACTGACTTGTTGGAGATCAATTTGGTATGGTATGGTACCAACATTATATTCATTCTACACTTAT